AATTCAATTCAGAATGTAATAATTTTCTTGCAAAGCGTAAAATCTGCATTTGCAAAAACTCTGTTGATTGTCACTTTGGCATTGTATTTAAGCGTTGTTAAGGATTTTAAATGGATTTTATGCTAAATGCTATAGATAAAAATCGATTTTTATTCAAATTACCATATTGCAAGGTAATTGCAAGAAGAGTAGACAGAATTTAATTTACATCGAAAGCAGCTGTAAAAATAGACACTGAAAACAAAGAAAAGTCGCGACCGTTTCTTTTGTGAACGAACTTTTGAAAGAAATGTCAATATTGATTTTGTTAAATTTTATCTCTATATCTCAATTTCTGTTGTGAAGAACTGCCGTCAAAGTTGTTGAAAATATAAAAACCTGTTATATTATTGGTTTTCAGTTCGCGTTATATCAAAACCGGTTTGATTATCTGTCACTTGGCTGTCTTTTGGAAAACAAACCTGTTGTAAGCAAGTATGATATAACTTTATCTTCTCAGACAAGCGCCACAGATGTGCTTAAAGCCATGGGCGCGATGCCCAGTGGATTTCGTTCAACTACACTCGGAAAAATGGCGAAAGAAGGCAAGTTGCTCGCTATTTCAGCTCCAATTTAGAGATATAATTCTTGTTGTTGATTAGCTGATATTCTGTCCGATGTTAATCGTTCTGATATCTGAGAAAATGAACGAATTGAGAGCGCTGCAAAAAAAAATTGATTTTTCCATGTTAATGTCATAGAGTGGGGGCGATATTTTAGAGGGTGGGGGAACTTTTATTGGACTTATATCCCAGGGGATATTTACCACGTGGTATTCCTTTTCCATATTTAAATTCCGTAGTTTCTTACTTTGTCTAATGTTGCATGACTGACTTATTGTTTATTTCTGTTTATAGAAAACTGGCAAACTAGCTCTTGGGTGATGCCGAAACTAAGTCAGTCTAATGTAGCTTATCGAGACATAACTTGGGATCCCGTCAACAAACAGGTGAATAATTGTTATATACTACTTGTTAATCGATGGGTTGAGTTCTCTGTGGATGTTAAGTGATACTGGAAGTTCTCAAATGTCGAATGTCCACAAAAATGTTTACCTTACCTTTGCTTGTGTTCTCATTTTCGTCAAAGCGTTGGAAACCGCACAACGGCGTGCAAAGAAAACTAACTAGTCATTCTCACTAGACCCAAAAAGTTTCTCACGAATATAATCTTTTAAAGTACATCTGTAATTGGAATGTCATCAAAAGTATTCCCGAAAAGTATTCCACTAGCCCGACTGCAAAATCCACTAGCCTTGGGCTATTGGACACTACTTTCTTTGCATGTTGATGATAATTATAAAGAAAAGTAGCCTATAAACTACTTGAGGAAACCAGCGACACTTAAAAGTTTGTATTTGAGTGAACGTCTTGTGACTCAGCGTCCAGTCCTCTAAGCTAAAGAAGAGCTTGGTTACTGTGTCTTCCAAAAACTGTTAGAGACTACACGCAGCGTTGCTGTGTCATTTGGCTGACTTTTATGCTTCAGAATAGAAAACAACGTGTTGAATTCTAGTTAATGCAAAATACTATAGGTAATTGTTTCAGTTGAGGTAAATTTTGAGCCTTACTTTGCCATGTGACTCCAAGATGAGGTCAGATTTCTTTGTTGCTCGCGAGTTTGAGCACCTTGATATTGTTCTCTAAGCCTTATTTGTGGATTACAATGTCAGCAAATATTGGCTTGAATAGTGCTTTAATCTTGTTACTGTTTGTTTGGTAATCTTTTTGTTAATCTTGTTTGTTTGTCAATCTTGCTCTGTTCTTATAGTTACGGCCAAGAACAGCTAAAAGCAACAGAATATTCCAGGTCCTGAGTGCAAGAATGGTTCCTTTACCAGGTTCAGGTAGAGTATGGAAAGTTTTCTTCGCTCCACTTATTTTACCTTACTGGACACTACTTATAACATTAATATGCCCTGAACTTGGTTCCTCTCCCGCAACTGCCCTTGCCACCGTTCTTAATTTATCTGACTTATTCTACTTGCACCTTTCTGTGCACTATTAGTTATTAATTAGATTTATTGTAATTCTATTAAATTTTAGATCTTTTTATGTTTTTTTTTTCTTTTTAGATTTACGGCTGCGCCTCGCATGGGATACTTTCCCGTTCGCGCAATCCCGTTTGGTCTTTACATTTTATTTCTTATTGATTTGCTATATATGTACATCTTTACCTATGAGACCAATAAAGTTGATAGATGGAATCTTNTAGTGCGAGATTCGCGTTACCGCGGTTCGAGTTGTCGGATGTCAACTGTACCATTTAAAGTTACCCGTGGTTTAAAGAAATAATATCATGGATGCTGAATTGAATCTATGTGGAAGACCCTTTTACAGTTCGTCATAACATTCCTCAATCTTGACCTGTCTTGTTCCTATTTCGTTTTTTTTATTATCGCCTTTTTATGTTGGTATATTGTTTTGTACCATGTACTGTCTTTAGACCCTCCTATTCACAAGTACAGCCAGGATTTTTCGTCCTTCCTTTACGCCCATCCATACACCTCGTCAAACCTCTCTTGAACGTCAAGTTTTCCATGATTTACAGATATAACAGTAGCCTTTGTTTAACCTCCCTTTCTTTTTCTTGTAGTCAACCGGCGAGAAAAGCGAAGTATCATGTGGCTGGTGTGTGATGAGACTGTTTGAAGAAAATGGAGCGCCAGTACCTAACAAGTAAGGCGATTAAAAATATATAAAATTAGTTATTATTTAACATGTAGACGACGGAGTATAAACGCCTGACGAAATGAAAGTGAAACCATTATAACATGGTAATTTTCCTTTCGCAGTTATAATAGCGAATGCCATTTGGCATTGGCGAATTTCAGCTTCTCAGGCCAAATTGAGCGCGCAGTTTTTGTCTCGAAGTTTCGAAGCAACAGGTGGCGACAGGCTGGCGTGACAACTTTCGGAGTGCTTTCGAGTGCTCGTGCTATTCTCAGGTTGGATAAAAAATCGTAAACTTTACGAGTGGGTCTAAGAATATTTCTCTCCTTCTCCCCTTCCCCTCCCCTCCCCAAATTCTACGAGATTGAAAGCCAGGCTTGGTCGGAAAAGTTTAGCTATGTGATGAAACACCGTTTGCTTGTTGTTTCACAGGGCATATGAGATTCTACTTAATGGAGGAACTCCGTTTGATACTGGTGTGGACTTGGACCCCTCCATCAGTTTAAAAGGTAACCAATCACTCTCTTGTTAATTCTTTCAGTGAACATAAACTGGATCCTGTTTCACTAAATTTNAAACGCACCATTATAACATGCTAATTTTCCTTTCGCAGTTATGATAGGAAATGCCGTTTGGCATTGTCGAATTCCAGCTTCTCAGGCCAAATTGAGCCTGCAGTTTTTGTCTCGAAGTTTCGAAGTAATAGCTGGCGACACGTTGGCGTGACAACTTTCGGGGTACTCTCGAGTGCTCGTGCTATTCCCTGATTGGATAAGAAAATCGTAAACTTTACGAGTGGGTCTAAGAATATTTCTCTCCTTCTTCCCCTCCCCCTCCGATTGTGCGCTTGCCTGTGTCCAGTTGGCACAAACTCTTCAAGATTTAAAACGAGGCTTAGTCGGAAAGTTTAGCTATGTGAGGAAACACCGTTTGCTTGTTGTTTGACAGGACATCTGAGATTCTACTTAATGGAGGAACTCCGTTTGATACTGGTGTGGACTTGGACCCCTCCATCAGTTTAAAAGGTAACCAATCACTCTCTTGTCAATAGTCCAGTTTCGAATTCGCCATGACCGCTGAGTAAAAGCACTGACAACGCATTTGCACGGGTTTAGCCTCGACCTAAAAAAAATATTCACAAATACCGGCGGGAAGTTGTCACAAATTTGAAAATTAAACAATACACAGAGCAGTAAACAGGTCAACTTCTCGCTGGAATAGCCCTTTACACGGTTAATTTTTCTCATTTGCATTACAATGTAATCCAACGTTGATGCGAGGCAATTTTGGGCTAAAACTACAAAATAGCCCGAAATTGCCTCACCTACATGCTAGATTTTATTGTAATGCAAATGACAAAAGGTAACCGTGAAAAGGGCTATTTGCGAATATTTTACTTGAGGTCGAGGCTAACCCTGTGCAAATGCGTNTAAACTGGATCCTGTTTCACTAAATTTCACCTGAGCAGGAACATCAAATAAAAACAATGAAAAACTGAGGACTACGAACAGGAACAGCAAATAAAAAGAATGAAAAACTGAGGACTAGGAACAGGAACATCAAATAAAAACAATGAAAAACTGTGGACTAGGAACGGGAACACCAAATAAAAACAATGAAAAACTGAGGACTAGGAACAGGAACACCAAATAAAAACAATGAAAAACTGAGGACTAGGAACAGGAACACCAAATAAAAACAATGAAAAACTGAGGACTAGGTAATGACGGGCTTCTACTAACAGTTTTTTTAATATAAAAGAATGAGAGCTGAGAGTTCTTATTTGACTCTAAAATATATATTAATCAACATTAGGTCGAGTCACGACAGTCGAAACGTACACTTCGAAATGCCTGCAAAATGACAGCCGTAGAAATATGATATATTTGCTTGGGTTTGAATTTCTCAGTATTTGTATGATTTCTCGTGCTCGCGAACATGCTTAAATGGGAACAGTTCAATCGATGTTGTAGATTATTTCCACTCAACTCAAGTTGATTGAATTGACAGATTTTGCAAGGGAAACAAAGTTCCCTTGACCTTAATGGAACTTGGAAAAAAACACGATTAATTCTTGTGCTATTATTTCTTTTTTGTTTCTATTTTGTCTTTTTTTTTTATTCCTTCTTTCATGTTCTTTCATAGTTTGTTTGTTGTTTTTTCCTCTTAGCAAGCAGTAGCCGTTTCCAGCAAGTTGTTCGTTCTAATCGCCAGCCACGACTGTCAGTGAAGCTGATTTCACACCAAAAAAGAGAAATATATGAGTAAGTCCCATCATTTTGTATGTATCCATTTTTATTGTTGTTAAACTAACGTCATTTGATGCGACTGAGATTTAATTATGATGAGATCCGTACATGTCTTTTCAATAAAATAACTAAGTTACGCCGAATCTTATTTAAACCTACCAATCAACAAGTCATAAAACACTGTTTTCCTTGACTTTGTTGACTTTCAAAGGAGCTGAACGATTAGCTTTAAGAACTCTTCAACGTTTGATTANCTTTTGCTAGTTTCATTTCTTTTTTGCTCATGTTTTGTCTTGTTTTATTTTTCTTTCATGTTCTTTCATAGTTTTTTTGTTGTTGTTTTTTCTTCTTAGCAAGCAGTAGTCGTTTCCAGCAAGTTGTTCGTTCAAATCGCCAACCACGGCTGACAGTAAAGCTGATTTCACACCAAAAAAGAGAAATATATGAGTAAGTGCCATCTTTTTGTATGTATCCGTTTTTCGTGTTGTTAAACTAACATCTTTTGATGCGATTTAGGTTTAGCTATGATGAGATCCGTACATGTTTTTGCAATAAAATAACTAATAACTTACGCCGAATCTTATTTAAACCTACCAATCAACAAGTAATAAAACACTGTTTCCCTTGACTTTGTTGACTTTCGAAGGAGCTGAACGACTAGCTTTCAAAACTCTTCAACGTTTGATTACCTATAACTAGTAAGATTGTCAATCACTCAGATGCAAAATTTAACCAATCCTGGCTTTGCTTACGTGACGTTTCTCGTGCATGGTGGTTGTCACGTTAGTTGGTCCACTTCCGGTTCATTGGTTGCACAATAAACAATCGTATACTATAGTTGTCTTTGTTTGATGACATCTCTTAATGTTTGACTCAAAGTTTTCCCCAAGAATGAGAATCCAAGTTTTCATCTCAATGCCCTAATTTTCATATTATTTGTTTTCATTGAGCAGTGACAATATTTCATAAGTTGTCATGTTGTTTCTCTTTGTAGCATGTTACCGGACACTTTGTTAACATGTCACATGTATGCTCAATTCATTTCTTTGTACCGCCAACTGCTGACCGAGGTTATAATGGACGAAGGGCGCGACTCACAAGTTGCAGGTAATTTTTGGACTGTTTGGTGCATGCGCAATAACGAAACCTCTTGCTCGTGTTTCTGGCTTCTTTCATGTTCTTACCATGAAGGAAACATCGGTCTTAATCTCTAATTGCGAGATTGTAGAGGTCTTTAAAACAAACATTACTATAGCAAGTTTAAGGTGGCCGAACACAGTTTTCAAGAGCCTATTCCTAATCCACCATTACTTTTAAGCTATTTATGCTTTGGCGCCCGTTTATTGCAAGCGTCAAGGTTAACCACAGAAGGGTTTATTATCGCATTTTGGCTAAGGTGTGTGCTGTAATTTTTTAAAGTAAAACCAGTGAGCAGCACGTCTGCGAACTACTTGAGTTGTAAAACTTTTTTATTTTNGTTGCAGGTAATTTTTGGACTGTTTGGTGCATGCGCAATAACGAAACCTCTTGCTCGTGTTTCTGGCTTCTTTCATGTTCTTACCATGAAGGAAACATCGGTCTTAATCTCTAATTGCGAAATTGTAGAGGTCTTTAAAACAAACATTACTATAGCAAGTTTAAAGAAAGCATTGCTTTAATTTCAATACTCATCTTACTAAGAATTGATCGTGTTTCGTGTTCCAGGCTTTATTATGGATCCTGTAATATCTACATTTCCCAAAACTCTTCATACCAGTGACGTCATGGATGCTCTCAAGGTAAGCACGTGACTATTACGTGAGCACACATTAACAATACTAAAGGACGCAAGCATTTTGGAGAAAACGTACAAGATTACAAGGCTAGAAGACAATTGTAGCTCAAAAAATGTGTTTTTGTCACCAAAACAA